AGATTTTGGGGCTGGGGGGGGGGGGGGGGGGGATCCTGCTGTGCTTTCATCCAAACTACCTGTGTTTTGATCTTGCCAGATTTTACAATCTAAGTCACATCTGTACATGGTACTTATTGTGCAAGATGCCGAGCACCTACTGCAAGGGAGAAGCACTCTGCATCTTGCAATATCTGGCCCTTGTATGGAGGACTTTAAGGATCACTTAAATGGGATACATTAATGACTGTTAGAACTTACAGAATGCTTTTCAGCTATATATCTATAAGCAATTTACAAAGATGGGTATACTTATCCCCAGTATACAGATGTGGGAAGAGAAGCACAAGCTGCTTAAGCAACTTGTCTGAATGTACACAATAAGTTAGTGGCAGAGCTTGGCCTAGAAACCCTGGTGCTGTAGGAGGTGTTTTTTGTGATTCATAGGAACATAGGAATTGCCAGATTGTGTCAGACTCAGGGGTCCTCTAGTTCACTATCTGGCTCTGGTAGTGGCCAGCACCAGATGCTTCAGAGGAAGACAAATGTGGGAGAATTTGTTCCCCCTCCCAGGGCCGGCCCGAGCCCTTTTGGTGCCCTGAGCCCGGGCGCATGTGCTGCCCAGCCCGACCAGCACTGCTGGCGAACACGCCGGGCTTTGCAGGTCCCCGCAACTGTTGGGGGAACGGTGCTGCTGGCTGGCGCCGCGGGGCCAGTGCTGCAGGAGCTGGGCGCGTGGCTCCTGATGGCAGCTGTAAGCGACGCTGCGCACCCCTTACAGCTGCCATCAGGCGTCCCTCATCGGTTGGCGCCCTGGGCAGCTGCCCGGCTCAACCATGCCTCCGTCCGGCCCTGCCCCCTCCCCCCTCTGATCCTGATATCTATTTGTCAAAGATTGGCTTAAGCCCTGAAGCACAAGGTTTAATATAGAATCATAGAATCATAGAGCTGGAAGAGATGTCAGGAGGTCGTCAAGTCCAGCCCCCTGCCCAAGGCAGGACCAATCCTAACTAAATCAATCCAGCCAGGGCTTTGTCAAGCTGAGACTTAAACACCTCGGGTATGTCTAGACTACATGGCTCCGTGAAACGAGGCTCACAGGATTGGTCGGCAAAGGCATCCCCAGCCAACTGATCCGCATCTAGACTACTGCGCTGTGCCGGATCAGCTGATCATCGGCACAGCGCGGCGGCCATATTTATTTTAATGAAGCAGGGATTATTTAAATCCCCACTTCTTTGCCTATGCCGGGTAAACTAGTTTACATGGCTCCGTCGACGGAGCCATGGAGTCTAGACATACCCCTCTAGGGATGGAGATTCCGCCACCTCCCTAGGTAACCCATTTCAGTGCTTCACCTCCCTCCTAGTGAAATAGTTTTTCCTAATATCCAACCTAGACCTCTCAACTGTAACTTGAGACCATTGCTCCTTGTTCTGCCATCCATCACTACTGAGAACAGCCTTTCTCCATCCTCTTTGGAACCTCCCTTCAGGAACTTGAAGGCTGCTATCAAATCCCCCCTTACTCTTCTCTTCTGCAGACTAAACAAACCCAACTCCCTCAGTCCTCCTCATAGGTCATGAGTTCCAGCCCCCTAATCATTTTGATTACCCTATGCTGGACCCTCTCCAATACGTCCACATCCTTTTTATAGTGAGGGGCCCAGAACTGGAGACAATACTGCAGATGTGCCCTCACCAGAGCCAAATAAAGGGGAATAATCACTTCTCTGGATTAGTTGGCAATGCTCCTCCGAATGCACCCTAATATGCCATTAGCCCTCTTGGTATCCTTCTTCAATTTTTGATATTATTAATTATGATAACTCTGAATGCACTTAATATCCATATACATATCCAGTCCTTTTTTAAATGTTGGTGAGCTCTTGGCCTCAGTGTCTTGTTGTGTTGAAAGTACAGGGACCTTCTTCTCTCTGAGTCAGCACATAACCAGTGCCCAGGACTTTTCAGTTCCTTGAATGAAATTCAGGCTCTGAGGGTATGTCTACACTAGCCTCCTAGATCGATCTAGGGAGGCTAATGAGGGCGACCGGAATTGCAAATCAAGCCCAGGATTTAAATATCCCGCACTTGATTTGCATGTTCCCGGCCAGTTGCCATTTTAGAAATTGACTAGCCTGAAGTAACTGTCCGCGTCTACATGCGGCAATGAAACGGGATTCTGGAATAAAGACCCTAAATCGAATTAGGTGGTAAATCTCATTCCACGAGGAATACCACTTAATTCGAATTAGGGGCTTTACATCAGAAGCCCGTTTCACTGCCGCGTGTAGATGCAGGCAGTTACTTCGGGCTAGTCAATTTCTAAAATGGCGACCGGCCGGGAACATGCAAATCAAGCGCGGGATATTTAAATCCCGGGCTTGATTTGCAATTCTGGTCACCCTCATTAGCCTCCCTAGATCGATCTAGGGGGGCTAGTGTAGACATACCTTGATTTCCTGCGGCCTTCACAGCTTCTATGGCACTTTTTGCAAGAGTATGTTGGTTAATATACCAATGCCCTGGGCCAAATTGTAATTCTGATAATGGCATTTTCCCTACCTAAACTCATGCCCCTCCTCGTGTGCTTGTGTTGGTTTCACAGTGTTCATTTTCCTTGTAAATTGTTGCTATTTTCTGGAAAGCAGCTGCCTCCTTCCACCCTTAAAGGGAATTCATAATGATGGTGGATGACATGATTCTTGTGTATTGTTTAAATATCAACTAAATTTTTGAACAAATTTGGGAAGAAAGGTACAGTTTTTATGTGTAAGTTATTACGATAGTTTTGTAAACAGTCCATAAACCCAAAAAAAAAATCATCCTTTTTTTGTAATATAATGATGCTCTGTTTATTGAATTTTCTTTGACAGATCTTGGACAGTCAATTTTTTACACAACCACATGTTTGCTTCCTTTTCTGAATGATGACATCCTGAGTACTTTGCCTTATACAATGATTTCAACATTAGCTACCTTCCCACCATTTCTGCACAAGGATATCATAGAGTATCTCAGTACATCTTTTCTGCCTATGGCTATATGTAAGTGAAGTTCATTCCAATAATGTTATGTTTCAGAAAGAATCTAGGTTTTTGAAATAATGTTAGACAGTAGTTATCAATGTTTTATTCCCACGGGGATGTGGTTCTATAGTAATCCACTTACTGTATCTACAAAAACTAATTCAATGTGGCTGCTCTTACCAGAGGAAGTAGTTGTAAAGAATTTCTACTTTTAATGTTGTATTACTAGGTTATTTCTTTTCACTTAAAGAATGAAATAAAACATCTTAAGGTGGTATGCTAATTAAACACAGAGCTTTCAGTGGCAGCATTAGGAGTCCAGAGTACAAAGCAAATGTACATTATGTTCCTGAAAATACAGATGCAAAAGAAATAGGTATAACATTTGCAGGAGGAAGCACATGAACAACTACTGTCAATATAACTGATAGACATCCAATGGCAGTGTTTGTCTCTATTTATATTATTGTTTTGTATTACGTAATTATGGATGCCAATAGAATTTGTTCTAGCTGTAATTGTCAGGAATGAATCCGATAGGTAGTTGATTTTCTGCTTTTCTTTTAAAGGATATTGAATTACTGCATAAAGTTATAGAAATGTAGCCGTGTTAGTCTGGTCTAGCTGAAACAAAAAAACAGGACTATGTAGCACTTTAAAGACTAACAAGATGGTTTATTAGGTGATGAGCTTTCGTGGGCCAGACCCACTTCCTCAGATCTGGGTCTGGCCCACGAAAACTCATCACCTAATAAACCATCTTGTTAGTCTTTAAAGTGCTACATAGTCCTGTTTTTTGTTTCTTGTGTAAAGTTAAAATTCCCACAAGCTGTGGATCCAAAGCAGTACTAATTAGCTGTGTTTCGAACACTCATTATGAACCTGATAAAAGCTTGCTGAGCTTTCAGTAGCTACTGTAAATATATCTTTTTTTTCACTGTTCACAGATTTGAGGACTAGGAATTATATCAATAGTCAGTTGTACCATAACCAGCTAAATTCCTTTTATCAGCCCTATAGACTTTTGTTCTATGCATTGTTGTTGTGTAGCCATGTTGGTCCCAGGATATTAGAGACCTTTATCTAACAGTATGAACTCTTTCCTCATTCAGAAATCCATTAATGGTATTCTGAGTTTTACACACAAAAAAAGTCTACAGAATATGGGAAGTATGATTTAGGGTCTTAAAGCACAAGGCTCTGATGAGGTCTATTATCTGTTGTTCCTGCCACACTCACAGATATGCTATGTGACCGAGGGCAGGCCATTTAATAGCTTTGTACCTCAGTTCTGCCATTTGTAAAATGGTAGTAATAATACTTCCCTATAACTTGAGGTCTTGTGAGGATTAATTTTATACTATTTTCTAAAGTTCTTTAATATTTTGGATTGATCAGCCTATAGAAATACAAATCAATATACAATAGTCTCACTGTGGTTTAAAGAATCTCGCACTAAAGTCTTTATTTATCCATTATGCTAGTCTGTGAAAAATACAGCTGATATAGAACTTTCTATAGTGTGTTCCTCTAACCATGTATTTCCTCAGATCTCTGAAACTGTTCTTCAAAACAGCCTGTTAAGTCCAATTCTATTTTAGTTAAATGGATATCCATTCCCCAGTGGATATTGTATACAGGCAGTCCCCGAGTTACGCGGATCCGATTTATGTCGGATCCGCAGTTACGAACGGGGTTTTTCTTGCCCCGGAGGACAGGAGCGGCGGGACGCCCAGATGTGCTGCGGTCCCGCTGCCCGTGTCCTCCGGGGCGAGAAAAGCTGCTCTGCGTCTCCCTGGTCTGCTGGGGGGGAACCCAGCAGCAGACCAGGGAGACACTGAGCAAAGCCATGGAGCACGCGGGCAGCAGGACAGCCCAGACGCGCCGCGTCTGTCCCGCTGCCGGCGTCCTCCGAGGCTTTGCTCCCCGTCTCCCTGGTCTCCCTGGGGGCGGAGCAAAGCCGCGGAGGACCTGGGCAGCGGGACCGCGGTGCGTCTCGGTCCGCTGCCCGCATCTCCCTGGTCTGCTGGAGGGGGGCAGCTAGTGCGCCTCTCCCTCCCCTCCCCCAGCAGACCAGGCTTTTCTCCGGACGCCTGTGGTAGAGCAGCTGGGGCGCTGCCGGTTGGTCCCGCAGCGCCGCTCTGGGCGCTACTGGACCAACCCGGCAGCACCCCAGCTGCTCTGCCCCAGGCGTCCCCAAGTCAGCTGCTGCTGAAACTGACCAGCGCTGACTACAGGAAGCCGGAGGCAGAGTTGCTCTGCCCCGGGCTTCCTGGAATCAGCCGCTGATCAGTTTCAACAGGCTGAATCTGGACGCCAGTTCTGACTTACATACAGATTCAACTTAAGAACCCCAGGCGTCCCCAAGTCAGCTGCTGCTGAAACTGACCAGCGCTGACTACAGGAAGCCGGAGGCAGAGTTGCTCTGCCCCGGGCTTCCTGGAATCAGCCGCTGATCAGTTTCAACAGGCTGAATCTGGACGCCAGTTCTGACTTACATACAGATTCAACTTAAGAACAAACCTACAGTCCCTATCTTGTACGAAACCCGGGGACTGCCTGTACATGTAACCGAGAACAGAAGTTGGTCAATGGCTTTTTTCCTCATACAGCATTCTAAAATCACTGTATAAATCAATCTATCTCTATATTTTGTTTCCAATAATGCATGGTACTTTTTATCTGTAGACTGTATTTTAAATGCTAGGTGAGAACTGCGGGAGAATATGTATTTCGCTATATAAATTCTCGCAAACAGATTGTGCTGCAATAATTTGGGGATTGTTTTGAGTGGCATGTAATTACTGGGATATGGACATGGCAGAGAATAGTACCAGCCGAGCAGTAATTAAATCAAAGGTAATATATTTGTGGCATGTATACTCAGAGATTCATTATATAAGTGCTATGGTCTATGGGTCTGGCCATTTATAGCACATTGCTGAATTGCTTCTGTTGGGATTTTGTGGTTCCCAGAGAGTCAGGTGCTGGGCAGAATCAAGGGTCTTCGATACTTCGATTCAATTCAACAAGACTTTATTCAATGTGCACAAAGGGAGAGCCCATGGTACTAAAATCAGCCAGAGCCCCTCAAGCAAGAAGCCCCTCCCCTTGCTGTTTTATAGCACATGGCAGTTACATAACAGGTTACATAACAAGTTATATAACACAAACTTCTAAACCAATCATATTCAACCTTTCCATATATGGCTTTGTTTGTCACATGCTTGTACTTCTCCACTCCACATGTTGAGTTCACCCCCTTCCCCTTGGCCTTTTCTAGTCTGTTCCTAGGGTGGTGAGCCACAGCATGCTTCTTTATGCATATCTACTTTCCAAACCACATTTTGTTTAAAATGAACACATGCATACCCTTCACTTCACAGCTTCTTTTCCACTAACCTCACTTGCTTAAGTAGCTCATAACATCAGGAATGAGCTTCCCTAAGCCTTTGCTCTGTAGCTCTGGTTCTGCAATCGCTATCAGGAGATGAATGATGGCAGCTCAATAAATACCCTCAATCTCCAGGGCTTTCCCAGGATTCGTCCTGATAACAATCACTAGCTCAACACTGATCAGTGCACTAGGAGAGCAGCAGAAGCTCCAGAGAGGGTCATTCTATTAGGTCTTATCCCCTGCAGTCAAAATACCCCTCCCCCCCCATGTTTAAACGCTGCTGTTGGTATCAGTGTCCTAGGATAGTTATCCCAACTATTGAGGAATAGGATTTTTAGTCTGAGGATTTTTAGTGTTTAAAATCATGAGGGAATAATCTATACTGTAGACCAGGCATGTCCAAAGTCCGGCCCGCGGGCCAATTGTGGCCCGTGTTCCGGTTTAATATGGCCCCACAGGTAATTTGGCAATATCTATCTTTTATGGCCCCCAACGAATCCATATGTATTGAGATGAATACATTGTAAAATCTCAGTTAATGTCAGTTGGTCTAAATCAGTTATAAATATATTTGGACACAACATGTATACTTGGTGTTATGTTCCTGTTCATATTTTTTGAACTTAAAAGTTGACAGACAACCTTTATTACCAATAATATGTAATGTACTTTACAATGTTCCTGACATATATTTCAGCTTCCTGGATTTTTTTTTCATCTGGCCTTCAGATATGAAAGGCAGAGTGATTTAACACCTGTTTAGATTTGTCATCCATGTGACGAAATGAAAAGTATGCCGTTTGCAATAAACTTTGCATAAAATAGTTAATTTGCATTTAATTTTAATGGTTCAAAGAATGTCAGGCAAAATGGTCGGCCCTCACGCATGTTCACTTCATCAAATCTGGCCCTCTTTGAAAAAAGTTTGGACACCCCTGGTATATAGCATTCCTTTGTATCAGGGAAGATCTAGAATTCAGAATGACCTTAGAAAAATCAATTAGCTGAATGTGATGAGATAAAGAATTCTCACTTTCCTCTGTTTATAGCATGTTCCTCCTCTAGATAGTCTTGAATGGAAAAACAATGTGGAACAACTTGGTATTCACATGTTCTTAGAGCTTTACAAAAATCTTCAGCATTATTCAGCAATCAAGTATAGCCGCCAACAATATCTTAATACTAGACAGTTTGGTACTTGAATACTAAAGTGAGTAACAGACCATAGATGTTGCATCTCATCTGTGTTTTTACAGTAAATAAAGCATGTATATCTTTAATCTGTCACTCTCCTCTTTACACTATATTAACATTTTCCCTTGTCTTCTAGTAGACCAAAAAGCAGCCAGCACCTTATTCCACTCCAGCTCCACCCACCATTCATCAACACCAATCCTTTCATCATCTCTGTTTCACCCCACTCAATAGCTCCCCCAAGCTTTCTATTGTTCTCCCTGCCCTAGGAACTAACTCCTAACAGCACAGGTTTGTGGGACATTGTGTGTTGTGAGCTGATATTTTGGACTGAAAAAATTGAGAGTCATGGCTCTGTTGCAAGGTTTTGCTAGCACAGCTCTGAGACAAAAACTTTTCTATTCAGGGCATCTAGGCTAAAACCTTGTGAGCAAAGACTACATCTACAATAGTCTTTTGCCATCAGAGAGTTTTTATCCTGCTGTGGTTGCTTTTATAAAAAATCATGCAGCCCTATGTATTTTATTTGCATCCGTCATAATCTAAACTGGGTGCAGTTGTTTTCTGATTTTTCTTACTGTGAACTAGGAGATATTTTTTGCTTTCCTTTAAGTGGGATCTTCAAAGAGAGAAGGTGTGCCTGCACACGTCAATCTATCTGCATCTTCAATGCTAATGATTGCAATGCAGTACACATCAAATCCTGGTAGGTATAAATAAATAGGGGCACTATTGTTTGTATCTCTGTCTCTATAAAGGTATGAGTCATGAAATATTACATCAGAGAAAGTGCTTGAGAATTCAGCTTGCAGGAAGTTCAGACAATTGGAAATGTTCCACACCATGCTGGTATTGCGACATGAGATTTAAAAATAGTCCTTTTAGTTACCACTTGGCATTTCTGAGACTAGTATTTGAAGCAGCTATGTTACAGATAACTAAGCTTGTCAGGATTCATTTTTTTATTTCATTTATTTAGAAATTTGATGAATAATGTTGATTATTTTAAAGCATTTCCCCCTATTTTTATCAATTTACATTTTCACAAATATGCAAAATTATGTGTTTTAAGCATATTACAATTTCTATTGATTTAAATGTTAATAGTTGTGGGGCCTGGATGGATCAGAGAATGGGGACAATAAACATTTAGTAACAGTAGATATTGAGATTGAATAAACTACAGCTTTACAACCATTAAAACACAAATTGTCAGTATTACATTTCAAAACATGTTGGCTGTGTCTATATTGGCATGATTTTGTGCAAAAGCAGCTGCTACCTGTCTACACTGGTGTTGAATTCTTGCACAAGAACACTGACGTTCTAATGTGTGAAATCAATGCTTCTTGCGCAAGAACTATGATGCTCGTGCTCAGGAAAAAGCCCTCTTGCGCAACTGTTCTTGCGCAAGAGGCCAATGTAGACAGGCAACATACATTTTTTGCGCAAGAAAGCCCGATGGCTAAAATGGCCATCGGAGCTTTCTTGCGCAAGAGAGCGTCTACACTGGCACGGATGCTTTTGCGCAAAAGCACATGCCAGTGTAGACGCTCTCTTGCGCAAATACTTTAACGCAAAAACTCTTGCGTTAAAAGTATTTGCGCAAAATCTTGCCATTAAGTAAATATTGTTAAATCCAACACTAATATGTTCTTAAGCAGTATTTTTCTTACTGTATCTGTAAATTTCAATTATATCAATGCAAGTATTTTAATTGGTTTGTGCCTGTATGGTAAGATCAAGACTTTAAAGCAGTCATGCTTATTGTAGTTTAACATGAGAAAATGGAGAAGTCTAAAATCAGTGCCTGGCAGTAATGACTAACCACTATCAGTCATAATTAAAGGTGAATTAATTCTGTTTTATTTTGTCTCATGGGTTGGACTCCTATACTCCTGGAGCGACAATTGTCACTTTTTTAGCAATACAGTGATTGCTGAAAACAGGATCCAAAATAAACTGTAATTAATTTAATTGTAATTGAAAAGCACCTGAAGGCAAAATGTGCTCTCTCTAATACTGATACAACCAGAGTGAAGTGATTGAGGTCACGCCCCTGCGATGTGACTCATAGGCGTTAACTCTTTATCATAAACAACTCCCTCCTATTTTAGTTATTTATTAAGTTGTGTATATATTGAAATGCAGTGGACCGTCTGTGCTCTGAGCATGTGAAGAAGTCTCCCACATTATAAACGTAATTAACCAAACTAAATAAAAGTAAGCCACTATGTAGAAATAAGCTATTTATATGACAAAATTTAAATATGAATAGGATTTTTATATGATGTGTTTGTCTTTTGACTCCTAGTTTATTGTTACATCAGAGTTGAATTAGGCATTATATATTTACATACTTCCATTAAAAACAAGAGTTAAATGAATAGGCTGATAAATCAGATGTAGGCAAAGGGTACTATTCCACCATTGTGCAAAAAGTGCTAAAATTTGGTACAGTAGTAATTCTCTTCATTTACTGCATTCCTCGGCATCAGCAAATTACTGATATTTAATTTCTGACACTCCGTTATTTACTCTAGCCCCAGAACAATGAGCAATTAGCAAGTTGTTCACTTTGTAAACAGTGAATTAAACAGAATATAGATGTCGGGTGCTAGATGTCTGGTTTTCAGCTAGAACACGTAGTCATAAAGGGACCTGAGTCAACCATTAAAAGTCCAGTCAGCAGTGCAGCATGGGCCCAGGGCTACCGCAGGCTTCTTACCTGCCCTGGCTCCACACAGCTTCTGGAAGCAGCCATATGGCTCCTAAGCACATGGGCAGTCAGGCTGGCACTGTGCACTGCCCCTGCCCTGAATGCTGGCTGTGCAGCTACCAAGGACCGGGAATCGTGACCAATAGGAACCATGGGAGTAGTGCCTGTGTGCACAAGGGCAGCATGTGGAGTATCCCTGGCTGCCCATATGCAGTGGAACCTCAGGGACCTGGCAGCCACTTCCTGAGACAGGGAGCCACAGTAAACATCATCAGGACCCTGAACCCTGAAGCACCTCCAGCCTGGTCCAGCCTGGTTTCCCTTTCCCCTACCCAAACTCCCTCTTGGAGCCTACACCCCAACTTCTTGTCCCAGTCCTGAGCTCCCTTCTGCAATTCAACCCCCCCCCCCCCCCTCCCAGCTGGAGCCCTCCTCTTCCTCCTGCACTGCAGCCCCCTACCTGAGTCTGGAAAAAGTGTGTGTGTGTGTGTGTGTGTGTGTGTGAAGCAAGTAATGGAGTGGAGGGGGGGATGGAGTGAGTGGGAGGGGGGAGTTCAGGGAAAGGGTGGGACAGGATGTTTGGTTTTGTTCAGTTGGAATGCTGGCAACCCTATGTAGATTCAGTAGACTTAACTAAATGAAACACAAGCCATTTCTTGAACCTAGTTTTCATTACAGTATCATACTTATATGGTCTTTTCTCTCTCAGTGTATCATTGTCAATTACTGGAATGCCTCATGAAATATAAACAAGAAGTATGGAAAGTAAGTTTGTGACCAGATATATGCCTTATATTATGAATATTTTTTACAATAATGAAAACCATATGGTTTGAAAACTATAGTCACTGAGCTAGAGAGTTAGAAGTAGTGATCTCCATATGGGATCCTTGCTGAATTTGGGGCAAAAGGGTGTTGGGTGTTCAAAATTGGATTTTATAGATGCTGTTCCATCTCTTCACATCAGGTCCAGTTTTTTGAATTCCTCTTAAATGTGGCTCAATTTTTTTAAGAGCAGGTAGACAAACATCTGTCAGGGATGATGATGCTTGGTCCTCCTGTGACAACAGGGGACTGGACTTGTTGACCTCTCGAGGTCCCTTCCAGTTCTTGCATTCTATGATAAAAATCTCATAAGGTCTGAATTTTTATGATGATGGTTTGTATGTGATATTGAGGCCAGAAGTAATTTAGTCTTTATTTGACCTCAAACCTAGATTTTTATCCTTAGCCCAAACCAAATCTAGATCCAGTTATAGATTCAAACACTGCCTTTCTGTTCTGTATCTAGACAGAATGCTTAATTTGTTTGAAGTTATTATATGTTATATGCATTGTGGTAGTACCTGGAGGCCTCAGTCAGGATCACAGATCCATTGTGCTTGGTGCTTTACAAATACATGGATAGAGTTTGCCATCTAATCTCCTCCAAAGAATTGCAAAAGACGGTGGCCAGTGTGTAAAAAAGTATGCAATTTTAATAATAATATGTGCATTTGAAAACATACATTTAATGTTATGAAGTGAGTATTGTTTTGTTACGTTGAAAACTAAACAGGCTACGCATGTCTTTCCTTAGGACTTGCTGTATGTAATAGCTTATGGTCCTTCTCAAGTAAAACCTCCGGCAGTACAAATGTTATTCCACTACTGGCCCAATTTAAAACCGCCTGGGGCAATAAGTGAGTACAGAGGATTGCAGTACACAGGTAAGTGTACAACTGTTTGTATAAACCCAAATAAATATCATAAATGAGGTGATCTGATGTGAACTAGTTAGCTATTAACTCCTGTCAGAGGGATCCCTTGTACAGTATTCTATAGGTACATATATTAAATATAAGCAATGTCTGTTTCAAAAGGTGATAATAATCAACGGTAGTTATGGATAGTAGAAACTGGGATTATATTCAGTAAAGAGTGTGCCAGTCCCAGAACTAACTGGATAACCCTCTCTCCATTAGCCTATGGTGCAAAGTCCTCAAATGGGATATATATGTACTATATAGGTCCTGGAAGGAATCCATTTCATGTCCCTTTCTATTGCCACGTTGGATGCTATTAATGTCTCATTTGTAATAGCTGTTACTGTTGCTATGACTCCTCGCTATTAACATCACTGGAGTCAGGTGGTGTCAGGTTCAAACAGCTCTGTAGGAAATTTCTCAGGGCTGCAAAGAAGGAGGTGGGAAAGCAGGAAGTGGGACAGGAAAGCTGAGTAGGTAGAAGGCACAAAATCTCATGCTCATCTTCCTCTGTATTGTTTTGTATCATATTAATAGGGGACTGTGCTTGTGCTGGGGTGGTTCTTAAGGTGGAGGAATTTCTTTTTGTTGTCTTTCGGCTGTATCCCCTTTTCCCTACTTTTTGAAAAATCATATTTTAAATGTTGTGTTATGATTTTTGGATTTTTTTTTTTCATTTTGAGTCAAGTTAGGCTGGCAGCAGAACCTCACACTCAAATAACCCAGAACGATGAGACATTCTGAATGTGACGTTGCATCTGTATCTCAATTATGCTACTGGAAAGCATTTCTGATACTTTATTAGTCACTTCCTGTGTACCATTCTCTTCTCCTTTCTTAATGGGGTCAGATTATTGGGATTTAAAAAGCACCTGAAAACTTGTGTATTACTTGGTCTGTGTATTGCTTATCTGGGATGATGTCCATTGTATTATAATATTTTAATTTGTTGTGCAGTTCATTTAGGGCTGGATTATCTCCCTAGGACTCAGTATTGCAACCCTTCAGAGAGCAAAAATAATGATTGGACCCCCGAAAACCATGAGATTGTCCCAAAAAATCATGGGTTTCTAAAATAAACAATTTTATTGTGTGGATTTTTGGTCGGTTTTATGATTTATGATCTCCCCCTGCTAATCCCCATTGTGCATATGATAGTGTTGCCAATGTTTCTGCATTTATTGGGTAAAATGATTTTTGTGTACAAAAGTCCTCATTCCCCTATCTGCCTGATCCTGGCCAGCAATTAGGTCTGCCCCTATCCTCCTGAGTTCAGCCCCTCAGATTCACCTCTGCTTCTCATGCGTTCTTCACCCACTTCTCCCAGGCATAGGGGATCTCAGTAGGGTACCCTCTCCCCTTTGCAGTCTGAAAGGACAGCTTGAGGGGCTGCAGAACAGTGAAGAACACTGGTGCTGTCTTGTCCCTCAGATTGCTCACAGAATGGGATGGAGTCATCCTGAGTAGCTGCCAGCTGGTTTTTTTAACTCTCTCCTTCCCTCTCCCCTCCTGTCAGAACAGCTTTGGATGCTATGATGGGCAGGGGCAGGGAGAGGTTTTCATATAGCAGTTCTGATTGGTTGCTCAGTCCCAGGAGGCAGGTGAGTGGGGCAGACAACCAGTCAGAGGGGTATTTCCTCTATAGGTAGGGCTCAGGTTCCCTAGAGCAGTGGTTCTCAATCTTTCCAGAATACTATACCCTCTTCAGGAATTTGATTTGTCTTGCATACCCCAAGTTCACCTTACTTAATAACAACTTGCTTACAAAATCAGACATAAAAATACCAAAGTGTTACAGCATGCTATTACTGAAAAATTGCTTACTTTCACATTTTTACCATATAATTAAAAAATAAATCAATTGCAATGAATATTATACTTTACATTTCAGTGTATCATACATAGAGCAGTATAAACAAGTCATTGTATGAAATTTTAGTTTGTATTGACTCTGCTAGTGCTTTTTCTGTATCCTGTTGTAAAACTAGACAAATATCAAGGTGAGTTGACATACCCCCTGGAAGATCACTGAGTACACTCAGAGAAAAATGTACCCTTGGTTGAGAACCAATGCCCTAAAGGGGTGGATCTTGTGACAAAACCTGAGCATTGAGAACATGGCCCTTCATAAGGGGTGGCAAATTTAAGGGCCACAATTTTCAGCTTGTTCCTCTATGCTCCTGGAGATAAATTAATAATGTGAGGCTATGTCTAGACTACAGGGTTTCTGTATCCCGCAAAACCCCCACCATGTTCAAGGAACGCATTTGCTCTTCTGCTTTTTTTCGCAGAAGAGCAAATGCACTCTTTTGGGGAGCCCTGTATAGCTTGTTTCATGAGGCATAAAGGCTCCGCCGAAAGAGGAGGCTTTTCCTCCATTTGGCCCCATCTAGACTGGGCCAAAGGTGGAAAAGCTATCAGAAAAAGCTATGCAAATTGTGGAGCGCAATTTGTGTAGCTTTTTCCGATAAAGTCCCATAGTCTACACCTAGCCTGAAAGAGATGAAAGGGCTATTGGGGAGAGGCCCTTACTTCCATTTTATATTCCCTGTGTGAGGGAATACTGCCCACATCATAATCCAATATTTAGTGCCTTAGCAGGCAGCTGTTGTTACTAGTATGCTTCCTGGGGGAGGGTCAAGTCTTTCTTTATATTTATACCACAGCTAGCACAGTGGGACCCTGTATGGTTTGGGGTCTCTGAGCACTAGCATAAATAGTACATATGAATAGTATTTATTTGTTAATTGATCTGCTGTGTTTGTGTTGTTTGTTTGTTTTGTTTTGTTTTTTTGCAGCCTGGAATCCCATCCATTGTCAGCACATTGAATGCCATAATGCAATTAACAAACCAGCGGTGAAGGTACTGTCATTTCCACAGTACCAGAACTTTGCCCACATGAGGGCTTTACTGTTAATTTTCTGTAAGCCTATGGCTTGAAGCTTGCACCATGTTTTACCTCTGGTCGCACACTAAAGTCACTAAGACTTGTATGTAACCAAGGACTGAGTTTGATGTGAAAATTTTTGCAGTTGTCAGTATCTTTAATAATGGTATGCTTTTGTTCCTACTGAAGTCAATTGCAAAACTACTATTGACTTCCTTAAGACCAGAAGCAGGAACTAAAATGGTAGCATGGCCGGTGAAAATGATAGGGCCTAAGAATACATCTCGATCTAGATGGCCTATACCACATGGATGCTCAAATGAAGATGGACTATTTCATCCTATAGCGTCTATGAGCTGTGTCCCCATATTAAATATGAGGATGGCTGCAATCTACATGGAAATATCTTGGAATGGTCTCTTGTTACTCCAGTGTTACATTTTCTCAAAAATATTATTAATTATGTTTTCAAGGTGCTTTACACAGGAGGTAAATAGCATCATCCCCGTTTTACAGGGTAAGTCATTCAGACTCAGGGCCATTCAGTAGAAGGAGAATCAGGAATAGAACCCACATTTACTGAATCCAAGTTTGGTGTGCACTGCCTCCAGTGAAGCTATTTATTTATTTGTAAACCTAAGCTATGTTCCAGGTGCTATATAAACATTAACACAGTTAAACTGATAAAAATGACACTTCACAGATCTCCCCCTCCTAGCAAACTATTCTCCCAGAGTATTACAATTCCAAAAAAGATGTTCAAACTTGACTTCAGAGCTCCCAACATTTCCCATCCAGCATCCTCCAACCTCAGTCTCATCCAGCCCTTCCCAGTAACCCCCATCACTAGAGAAAGATTAGATTCTTCCATCACTAGAGAAAGATAACAGGCAGGTGTTACATTTAGACTCGGGACGTTCAGTGGGGAGAGTAACTGATAGTGAGATTTACAGTTCCAGGTTTTGTATATGAAAATGCTTTCTGTTTAGATGTCTTGAATGGTCTTTCAACTGAAATACTAGCTGTAGAAGCAAGATCCCAGCTATGTAGAGATATACAAATTGAAGCCTATTCTCTCTTGGATACATGCCTAAAAGTTTTATTAATAGAGAGATGATGAAAGGTACATCCAAAGACGAATATATCCTTTCTCACTCTGAGCAAGATCAAGCTCTTGGCTAAATTAAGAAACAATGTTATTTCATTTAGAAGTGATGTTATGATGTCTGTTAGTGATTGCTTTTTTTCTTCATTGACCCCTTGTAGCGAAATTGGGTGACACTGCAAGGCTGCTTCAGTTTGTGTCCTACTCTGGTGGACCCCTTACCATCTAGTCTTCTCATCACCCCTTTGTCTTGACCCTAGTCCTCTGGCTGAATGGCTAGTAGTCCTTTTTGCCTTTGAGGGTGTTAAACGTCCAGTGCTTCAGGAGACAGTCACTCTTTAGATGAGGGGTACACAGTCATTGATCTCTTTGAGTATGGCCCACTTGCTCAAGGCCGTAGTAAACCCACCTGAAAGGTTTGGTAGGGGAGCCCAGGTATGGCCATTTTCTGGGTTCCAAGCCAGGAACTCTGTATAAAGCAGTTGATTTTAAGTTCTCTCAACCCTTTACTGTTTCTCTGGTATGCTTCCTAACATGCTGCTCTTGTAGACTGTTCCTCTAGATCACATCTTGTGGTCCTCTCCTCCAAAGAGTCTGACTTCCTGGGTGGCTTCTCACTGGTCCTATTGGCTGTCCTGTTGTCCACAGCCTCTCTGGCACCTCTGGACTATCCTCCACACCATTTTTTAAGATTTCCCTTCTGATTGCCTATATTTAGAAAAGTGTTCTCTCCAGCCCTGCTCCTGAAACTGGGGTTGTAGTTCTAGCCATCATGTTCCTGTTTCAGACAAGAGCAGGCACAGATTAACCAAGGTGCACTCAAAGAGCTTGCACAGGGCCAGAACACAAAACAACCCCCTCCTCCAAATCCCACACTTGATTGATTCTGTTACCCTGTGTGCCAGGTTGCAGTGCTACTCAAATTTGATCCAGTCACTGCTGTGCTATGCCACAGGGGTAGTAGCTGTAGAAGTGAATAGTGTTGTGACATGGATCTTGGCTTCCCACTTCTACCATAAACTCTGGATCAGCAGAAGGCTTGGAGTAGTCTCTGGAAACTGCCAAAGTCCAGGGGGGTTTACTTTCCTGCTTGAGAACTCAGCTCTAGGGGGTGGAAGTGGGGCAGCAAATGAAGTTTTGTCCCCCTGTGGTGAATGATTGTCTTGTATATCATATGCTCTGTCTAGTTTAGGGAAGACTGAGGGATAGAGGGGGAAACTATCAACTTCCATAGTACACAGGGGGAAAACTTTTTAATCTGGCACTGGATGGGAATCTCCCTAGCTCACAGATCCAGAGCTGTTGTTTAGGTGGCTAATTTGCTTCTTGGGACAGAAGTTCCCCAGCTGTTCTCTGCGGAGCTGGGAATTGTGGTTTAGGCTAGCTACAGGCCTTAGCCAGCTTTACTTTTAGATGGGCACTTTTCCCCATTCAGTACATGAGCTTTCTCCTACTGTTATCTGTGGTAGGAGGGGAGAAGCAGAGTATAAGATAGCCCCCTTTTTAAAGCCCATTCCAATTGGCTGGGGGAGAGGGACTTGTCCTGCTCACTATGTGAAGATCTTGGTCTTTTAAAGAGACAGTAACCAGATTCGTCCCAAACACTATTTATATTCACATGACCATTTCCTCTGTCCCCAGGATCTCCTTGTTTTTTTTACATCATGCCTCAGCTCCCAAAAGCTTAAAGAGGGTCTGTCAGAAGGATAGTCTGCTTGCCGCGGAGTGCCTCCTTGTGGAGACATCTGGGGGTTAGCTCTTCCAGGTTGATGCCTCTTCTTGTTGTTGCACTGTGTCACTCTCTCCATCTCATTCTCTTGGGATTTAACTGCTCCCACTTTGAGGCTTGCTCCTCCAGCCATGTCAAGGTAATTATCCCCTTCCAGGGAGGAGATGCAGTCTCAAAGTCTCGCTAGTCTTCTCTTTCACTGCCTCTTAACACCACATTGCTAGGGGTGCACAGGGGAACCTAGGCCCACCCTCTACATTGGGTTAGAAGCCAGTGATTCTGGAACAAGCAATCACGGTCTGTACACTCCTAAACCTTACTGCTCCATCCCTAGGTTGTTGCCTTCCCTCACCTGGAGAGTGACTGCAATCTCTCTCTCTGCAGCCACCTTCTGCTCTCAGCTACCGAGCTTTATACAGGTCACCCTTACCCCTATTCCTGCCCCTCTGAGCCTTGTCCCTAATCAGTTATTGCTTCCCAAGGCCTTCTCCAGGTGAAGTGAAGGCAAAGGCACTTCATTGGTCTACCTAGCCACCTTAGCCCCTTCAGGTGTTGTGTGGGGTGGACACCTCGTCACAGAGCCATGCCCTGTGACTAGGGTGGGCTGATCTCTAGGTACCTCATCACAGTGTCCATACCCTGACATCCGGCTCTCCTGCTTCTAAGTACTTAAATAGAGTAATGTATTTGCTCAGACATGTGATCATGTTGCCATCTAAAGGCTAACACACACAGAAGAAAAAAGCCTTACCACTCGTGCAAGAAAATGGAGTTACTGTTTCAGCTCTGGTGATGGGCCTGGATTTTGAGAGTTAGAGTTCCTAGGTTATATGTCAGGGGTGGGCAAGAGGCGGCTAGCAGGCTGGATCAGGTCCACCAAGCCAGTAGATCTGTCTCGTAGCCACCTCACCGACACCTTTACGATATATAGTAGCTCATGCTTTAAACAGTGGCTGCTAATTGCTCAGCACATGGGGAGGGATGGGGGGTCTTCATGCACTGTCCCTGGCCCCTAGCAAAATCCCTCAGCTCCCATTGACCAATTTCCGGCCAATAGGAGTTGAGAAATTTTCCTGGAGACAAGGCCAGTGAGCAAAGCCTCCTTCCTCCCTCCATCCTCCTTCCCTGTGCTGGAGCAGAGCCACGTGGAGCAGACAGCGCAGCAGACTGGCATGGAGCCTGTCTCAGGTTCCTGCAGGGTTGCTGGCTGGGAGCCACCTTGGTAAGTGCCTGCTAGCCAGAGCATGCCTCTGGAACCCCACCCTCTCTCTTCCCCCAACTACTAGTCCCTGGCCACCACCTGCTCCTGCCCTAGGTCACCACCCAAACCCTCTGTATCCCCTCTCCCTGCCTCCTCCAGGTCACAACTTCCTCCCAGATTCTGCACACCCTCCTACACTGTTCCCCCAGGCCAGAATCCTCTCCTACACACATACCCCCTCTTAGACCCCACACCCCAAGCCCGTGACCCAGATCATAACCCCCTCCTTCACCCAAACTTCTTCTCAGACCCCACATTCCCTCCCATACTCCAGTCCTCTATCCCAAGCTCCCTTCTATGCCCCACCTGCCATCTCAGATCTTGTACCCTCTGCAAAGAATGCAGCTCCTGACCACTTACCAAAATCTTGAAATGGCCTCCCCATTAAAAATTGTTACCCACCCCTGTCCTATGTCTATTATCACATATGTGCTTATAGCCAAGAACAATGTTGTATGTATACTTGCAGCATATAGATGTTACTAGTGACACGCTGAGACTGAAAGATCTAGAATTCTACCCTACTTTGGCCTAAAAATAGTGACCCAAATTCTCCTGTATGATAGTCTGTCTTTTGAAAAAAAAATTGCAGTGACCATGATATATAGCACACGTTTAGTTATAGTAATGAAACAGAAAGACACACCGAGTCACAGTGTGTAGAGCACTTCCATAGGCCCACTTAGAGCGATAATGTGGAAACCAAGACTGACATTCATTTCCTTTTATACAAATTCTGTTTTGACTTGTCTTTGGCAGAATTCATTTGGGACACTACGGTGGGAGGTGCTGAGTGCTTCCTGCAAAATGATGAATACCTTCCACCAGCACTGATGTCAGGGGATGTTCATTAACTTGTAGCATTGGCCCCTTGGATTGCTAAGAAACTAGAGCATTATGTGGAGAGGAGTTCATTTTGTTCTTCCTGTGTGTTTCAGATGTGTATAGAACCTTCCTTGTCTGTGGCTTTGGGAGATAAGCCACCCCCACTTTACCTGTGTGAAGAATGCAGCCAGAGGATTGCAGGGTGGGTAGACTAACAATCAGAGATGAATGATGATCATGAATAGGCAATTAAAAATAGCTAAGTACAATGAGTATGCAGCTCCAGATTCTAACACCCCCACTCACCTTGAATAGAATCTTACTCCACAAATAATCCAGCCGAAGCTAATGGACCTATTTGTAAAGTAAGTTGCTGAGGCTATGTCTACACAGCAGCATTATAACAAGGAGCGTGTCTTCACAGCAAGCAATTATTTCAAAATAATGGCGAGCTGGAGGACTTCTTACTCCAACTGCTGTAATGCTCATTTCACAAGGAGTAAGGGAATTTGAAGGAAGAGTGCTCTTCTTTCGACTTCCTGCTGTGTAGACAGCAGCAAAAGCTGAATTAAGCTATTTTGACTTCAGCTATACGATTGACATAGCTGAAGTTGCATATCTTAATTCGACTTTTACCCTGCTGTGTAGATATGCCCAAACTGGAATGAGTAATTGTATCAGAGGATGGCCCAAAGTGAACATCATTTGCTTTTAGTTTGCACATTAGTGTGTCTTAAAAATAAAAATTTATTAATTATATGATTTAATGTTATTAATCCCCACCGATTTTGCATAAGAGCAACATCTCTCCCCTCTTCTTACCATTAAGAGTATTGTAGTGAGGTCCCTCTTGCTGAGGCATTGTTACTTTTATGCAAAATATGTTTCAGAACATTTTCTAGTGTACACCAGAAAGCAGTCGGGTAAGGAACTGAAACTAGATCACTCTTGTGAAAATACCATGTAGAAATATATTCTGATGTGAGTTAGGCTCACATTTTAAGTTTTGTTTGGAAACTTGTTAATTTACAAAATCTACTAATTTGCAGTGTGTCTCCCAGTCATTAGTGGAAATGAATGAAGTCCTGCTTAGTTCAAAAGCTGTGCATATTTATTTTTAGCCCTTAACAGACACTTCTGTATCATAGCAGCTGCAGGGAAAAGTAATTAAATTTCACAGAAGTCACCGTGCTTTTGAAGTCATCCTTGATTTAAAGCTGCAGGGGAAAGTAATCAAATTTAATTGATGGCTTTTAAACAGATATACAGTTATGGAGCAGGTACTTTTTCTTTTTTCATGTTTCTCTATCACTGTTCACCATCAGTTTTTAATCTTAGACTAAACAGAACTCATTGTATTTTCACTTGCTAAATTAATGTCTTCAAAATAATATATAAAAGCATTGGATGGGCAGATATCAGCACAGTGGTAATTTGCAATCATCAGGGCATAACAAAGAGAGCTGATTTAAAACAACCTGCTATTTATTATGTGCTATCAATAGAAAAGCTTTTTCGGAACAACATAGACCACAGAGGTTTCTTTTGTGCAATAATAAGATAAAAAAGGATGTTAATTAAATATTTTAATTACTTTAGGGACCACAGTGAATGGTTGGTTGATGTCCTTCTGCCACAAGGTAAGCATTACTTTAAGGATGAATGATAAGTAATTATAAGTTTATTTTTCTTTGTTATATGAGGATTTGTATTATACTTTCAAGAAAACCACACAGAAAATAATAATTGTTTGCACTTAAATGCTCCATAACATCTTTGGAGTAGTGTGCAAACATTAGATAGTTATTATTGTTAGTGACACCAGATTCCCAATTTTAAAGGAACAGTCCCATATTTAAGCCCTTCTTCAGGTGTTCTGATTATTTCTTAAAAATGGACAAATTGTTCCCATTTTCTGTCTGCTCCTCAATGGTGCTAGCTAGATCTCTGCTTGCCAGCCACCTGCCCTCTAGTGGCTGACGATGAGTGTGTGTGTGAAAGGCTGGTGGAGGGATGAAGATGCAGTGCATGGGGCTGGCTGCTTCTCTGTGGGTCTGTCAGTGCAGCTCCAGTGTGGCATGGTGAGGAAGAGGGGGAGAAGAGATGAGCACAGCAATATCATCCCTTTCTTCTCTCCTTCCCTGAGTCTGGAATGAGCTCTTATCCCTTCCCTTCCACATAATGCTGAAAGACTGCTGCTGGCCACTTTGTGGTGTGACCTCTGGCAACAATTTGGGGGGGAGACATGTGACTCTGCATGTCCCCCACACGTTGCCCCAAGAAGACACTATGCCAGATACCAGTGCTAGCCCAAAACAGTTAGATCTATGATTTTACTGGTTAGATGGGCTGTCTGCAGTATCCTACCCCTCTGCTTTTATCATCAGTGTTTAGTGTGGTTGAGACGCAGGCAGGTTAGATACATAAGAACATAAGAACGCCCATACTGGATCAGGCCAAAGGTCCATCTAGCTCAGTAGTTTCCTGTCAACTCATAGTAGCCCATACCAGATGCCCCAAAGGGTGGGAACACAACAGGTAATCATCTCCTGTCATCCATTTCCAGACAAACAGAGGCCAGGGGCACCATTCCCACTCATCCTGGCTAATAGCCATTGATGGACCTAACCCTCAAAAATCTATCTAGCTCATTTTTTAACCCTGTTAAAGTCCTAGTCTTCACAATATCAAGATCTTTATTAGGTAACACAAATAAACAAAGTAGGACTCTGCAGCATAACAATAATGGCTTGGATGTTAGCACAGATGTTACAATAGGGCATGAATCCCAGTGCCCAGACTCTTAACAATAGGGAAGCAAGACAAACCATGTCCTGTAAAAACTGGGATGACATGGGGGAGGACATAGGAATGCCAGGAACTGGATTCCAGAAACCTCTGGAACAGGTAAGTGGACTTCTCTCGATTTTTTGTCTTCTTTCTTTCATTCTTGATGCGCCGTCCTGTGTGTGGAATGCGGACACTCCCTATCTGGTTTTTTGTGTGGATGTAAGTTAAAGGGTCTCTTCTAGATGTTATCTCCCCTGGCTTTAGCTCTCAGCAAGGCTGGCTCACTGTGGGAGGTCTCTGTGCCCCACTGGGATGTCTAGCATGCACAGCATTCAGAGACACAGAGCGCTGTCAGAGTGACAGACACACTCTATATACTTTCCATTGCTGGGCAAATTTACTGTCACATGGCACTCCATGTTCCTGCCCTTTCCTCTGTTTTGGAAGGAAAAGCCTGGAGAAGAAGGGACGCCAAGATGGAGACAAGGTTGTCTTTTTGCCAATCAAGATGGAGATTCAACCAAAATGGCAACCATATAAATCAAACATGTACTTAACCCATTACTTTTCGACATTTCCCTTCCTTGATGGTGTTGTTTGTTTAAAACAACTGCCACCTCAGTTGAACACAAAATAAGGAAACTGACTTCATCTGGCTTGATGAAATCCTTATGTATCTTAAACTTAACCCATCTCGCTATTATCATAAGGAGTACAAAGGTAAGGGCTTGGATAATCATAATTATTACAAAGGGATGTAACAAAATATGCCAGGATTGGGACAACTCTCCGGATGTAGCAAAAAGAGTTTCCCTCCAGAGATTGAAATTAGCACTTTGCTTGATTCTATTTAGCACCTGTTCTATTTGAGCTGTAGAATGGCGCACTGTATTAATAAAGGCTTTTCCTTGTTTTTCCAAATCTTTAATGTGAGCTGCCAAATCAGGATGCTGAATAAGTTGCTTCAGGGTTTCCTAGTTAGCTCCTAAGATGACTGGTTCAACATGCCTATACAGATTATATGCATCCTTGATGGTTGTAGTATTAAGCTTTTCTGACACATACGTAACATCACACCCTTGTATTACCAAAACCAAACAGATACACAAATTAACAGGATCATTTTGAGAAGATACATAAAATTCTCCATAAATTCAGAACATAAACTCCTAATACACACACAGTCAGTTTTAAATATTACAACTTGAGATCTGGTGTCTTGATGGGACTCAAGGCTGTAATGATATTTACCTTGTTGAGATTTTAAACAGATATGAGGGTCTTGATGAACATCAGTTGGGCAAACATAACCACAATCTTGTTCCCATACACAGGCTTCTAAATTGACTCCATGGTATTCCCCTTGACTCTTGAGTGCCCACTGGGGAATGTCTGCTTGGGTCATTACAGTGTTATTGACAATCATACCCAATGAAACTGGTAGCTAGACCCATCTAATACTAGTGTGGGTAATGGTGAGAATATGCTCTGTGATCTGATTGGTGTCCTCATTATAGGTGAAATCTATGAGCCTTCACCATTGATGATGTTCTGTTTCAAAGGGGGTTACCTCCTTAACCAGCATGTTTTTTTTTAAATCTCAGTAGAGATAGCTCCATGATATCCTAATCTTAAAATACCTGAGGCTACATTTTGGAGCAAGCTTGGGCCTATATACAAGTGAGGGCCCATGAAACATTAGTCTGCAAGGTGCCCAAAGCATTGACTATGTGAAACTGGCTTTAATTCTGGGCTGAGAACTAGTTCTTCATGACTGAAGCTATCTCATAATTAAAATCTCCAATTTGGTTCAAAGGAGTGACCAGAGGTTGCTCTAAAGTAGCTATGTGATGCCCCATATTCCTAATGCATTGAGCAAGGGTTCCTGTTCTCATAGCATTCATCACACCCAACCCAGTACCAACTCCTCCCAAAATTTTGGCAGTCAAATCTCTATTACTCCTAGAATACTCCATAGCAATGCTTTTGATCCAAGAATTCCATCCCTTAGTCAGTGGACTTAGAAAGGCTTATATTTGGGCTGAATGGACTGTGCCCAAAGTTGAAGATCTATAATCATTCTTTTAAAGGCATACCCGGGGTTTATAATCAAGAGGCGTTTTAAGTCTTGTTTTACCACAACTGGCCCTCTATGAATTACTTGGGGTCTTAGTATTACCATTACCTCCATAGGTTGTTTTGCTCCAAAGATACTTATTAAATCCCAAGTCCCAGAATCATTTACACTTATGTTCATATTAGGGAAGCCTATACAACTAGCTTTAGGCACAAATTGTTCATCCAAAGTACAGAGACTATTTACAGTATAGGACATATCACAGTGCTGCTTGTTCTAAGTAAAACTACAATTCAATAAGATATAGTAAGTCTTAGAAGGAGTGTGAAATCTAGCCTACATAATAGGTGTGTTAAATTGGGCTTCACAATTTTTTTTCTAGCTATGTGTTACTAAGCCACCCTTACAGTCTACCACATGAGGATCCTGCAACTCCCACATACAACTCTTTGTCAACTTGACCATTACATCCCAAGGTTCAGAGGTTAGGCCTCATTAATCATTATCATAGCCCTCCCTCCTCTCTCTTCCTTCCACTGCAACACGCAGTAGGAGTCATTTTGGTGAGCAAATATGGATACCGGCCCTTCCATGTCCATTAAACTTGGAAGAGAGTATCCTCTCCGCATAGGAAACCCATATCTCTTTACACCATCCTGGAGCTTGATTGCACAGTAATAATGTCCTCCTTCATGTAACATCATAGCCATCCAAATATTTACAAAGGCCCTTAGGAATACAAGGTGATTGAGGAGTTGCCTCTAAAATGCAAACAAACAGAACAACAATTACTTATAGAAACAGCACTCCTCTTTCCCCTTGAGTTCCCTTCCAAGGTTTCAGTTGACTGGAGTGAAACCATTTTAATTAAGATTTCTTTCCCCCTTTTAGTTCGACTTCATAGACCATTGGGCTGGCCTTACTGGTGATATGCACAGGCCTAACCCCACTTCCTTCACACACCAGAAGCTGGGAAGACATCTCAAAGCTTATCCACCAGCTCTGGCAGTGAGATGTTGAGAGAATCCAACTGTCCTAACGCCATCTTCCTGGTTGATGTTAACTCTTGCAGGAGAGAGTTTTTAAACTCTGGGGTGTCCCACACTTAAGCTACTGCTATTCTGTACAACTACTTCTTTCTGGCTACATATCTTTCTGGTCACTCACATGAGTTCTGGCACTCATAATAGTAACTGCCTATGAAGTTCTGATGGGGCTGGTAAAATCTCAAGATCCCCTCTAGCAGTTTCAGTGAAGATTCAATGTCAGCTATCTGAATGCTGATGGGCATTGCCCTGAACTCTTCACTGGACATGCATTCCCTGGGAATGGCAGCCATGTCCTCTCTGCCTAGACCAGGCTAGGCATATACTCTTGAAGCCCAATCCATAGCCGTATCCCGATTTAAGGGACCCATGGATTTTCCAGCTTCTCAGGCCTGCTCAGGAGTGTAGGTCCTGACTTCATGACGAGTCTCTGTGGGTTTGTTTGACCGTGGACCATAGCTTATAACTTTGGCAGTCACTGGTGCCATGGGCATTGCCTTCCCCTCCTGCTCAGTTGTTAAAGGTGGGGCAGAGGGTAACTTTTTCCTGTACCTCCCGTAATCTCCTGTTTAGTTGTCTAGGCAACTCTCTAACCCTTTCCACATCGGACCCTTCAAAGCTGCTACAGGAGCCACTGCTTTCACTAGAGCTCCTTCCCAATGAATCCCTGCTGACATCCTTCAATAGTCCCTTGGTCTGCTGCAGTTTCCTCTGCACTGTCTGGAGT